GTCGTCGTGCCCAGTGACGATTAACGACAGGTCCTAGGTGTGGTCGTCGTGCCCAGTGACGATTAACGACAGGTCCTAGGTGTTGTCTTCGTGCCCAGTGACGCGTAAGGTCGTGCCCATTGACGCGTAACGACAGGTCCTAGTTGTGGTCGTCGTGCCCAAAATCCATCCAGTGCTAACCGCGACGGATGACACCCTGATGCACGTTTAGATACCTGAAAACCTGAATTTGACTTCCTCCTGCCTGCAGTCGGCAAATAGCAATTTCCTTAAATTGATCAAGAGAAAAGTAATTCGTGACTGCTTGAGAATGATCTGAAGGTTTCGATGTAGCGTTATTTTGTTTTTAAAGAGGTTTAATTGCGTAGGCAGTGAATTGTGTTTATTCGTGCGCGCATCATGAGCTGTGCTCACAAATATGTACTTAAACAAACAAAACAACCACTGCCTTGTAAAGATTACAAAGACTCATGAAATTCAAGCCTACATTTCCTCAGACTGTGCATATATGGATTATGTTTGAGAAAAAAAGCAACCAAGTGGTTTTGAAAGAGGCGGGAGCCCGAAGACAACTTATCACAGACATCAGAAGGAGACAGTTATCATTTTTCGGCCATGTTATGAAAAAAGGGAAAATAAAACATGTTGTGACCACTGGAAAGATCTGTGGAAGGAGGGATAGAGGAAGACGAGAGAATATACTTGACAGTCTTGATGCATAGCATGGAGGTGTGTCGGCACACGAACTGATACATGCTGCAGGAGATCGTGAATTATGGAGAGGCATGATCGCCCACGCCAGTCGGCAAGGCACCTGATGATGATGATGATGATGTGTGAGAAGTCATCCTATTCTCCCCCGCATCCGCCTTTGCCCAGCTTATACTGGCCTGCTGTTGTTTCACTATTCGTGAGCGGCAACTGAAGAATCAGTAACGCTGGTTCTAAATCGTCCGATGCTTGGCGGTGGTTCGGTATCTGGTGTTAAGTCTATTAGTCCCAGGCGTTTGTGTCTGTACCCATTCGAATATCCTGCAATTTTTGTGGATAAAGTCCAGCTGTATCAGGTGGGTACAGTCCAGCTGTATCAGGTGGATACAGTCCAGCTGTATCAGGTGGGTACAGTCCAGCTGTATAAGGTGGGTACAGTCCAGCTGTATCAGGTGGGTACAGTCCAGCTGTATCACGTGGATTAAGTCCAGCTGTATCGCGTGGATACAGTCCAGCTGTATCAGGTAGATACAGTCCAGCTGTATCACCTGTTGCCAGATCTCTTCTGTTAAGCATCTGCTGCATCTCATTTTCCAACCTCGCAGGTTGCGGTTTAGCCAATATGATGGAGTGTATTGCTTTTGGTTCTCTATCAAACGAGGATCGAACAAAATCATTTTCTAGGTCATGGCTGAAAACCCAAGACCCCTTTCACCACATTCAATATAGGCCGCCAATAGTGCGCCCATGTAATCAGTTTGTTGTAGAATCCTCTTGCGTCCAACCAGTTGATCATCTGTAATCCCTCGCCATGTTTTTTAAAATGCATTGAAATTGATAGTTCTTTGTTGTTTGGTCTATTCGAACAGGTTTTGCACTATAGACATCACGCTAATGTTACAGAGCTGACCTGAACAGGTTTTGCACTATAGACATCACGCTAATGTTACAGGGCTGACCTGAACAGGTTTTGCACTATAGACATCACGCTGATGTTACAGGGCTGACCTGAACAGGTTTTGCACTATAGACATCACGCTAATGTTACAGGGCTGACCTGAACAGGTTTTGCACTATAGACATCACGCTGATGTTACAGGGCTGACCTGAACAGGTTTTGCACTATAGACATCACGCTGATGTTACAGGGCTGACCTGAACAGGTTTTGCACTATAGACATCACGCTAATGTTACAGGGCTGACCTGAACAGGTTTTGCACTATAGACATCACGCTAATGTTACAGAGCTGACCTGAACAGGTTTTGCACTATAGACGTCACGCTAATGTTACAGGGCTGACCTGAACAGGTTTTGTACTATAGACATCACGCTAATGTTACAGAGCTGACCTGAACAGGTTTTGCACTATAGACATCACGCTAATGTTACAGGGCTGACCTGAACAGGTTTTGCACTATAGACATCACGCTAATGTTACAGGGCTGACCTCAACAGGTTTTGCACTATAGACATCACGCTGATGTTACAGGGCTGACCTGAACAGGTTTTGCACTATAGACATCACGCTGATGTTACAGGGCTGACCTGAACAGGTTTTGCACTATAGACATCACGCTGATGTTACAGGGCTGACCTGAACAGGTTTTGCACTATAGACATCACGCTGATGTTACAGGGCTGACCTGAACAGGTTTTGCACTATAGACATCACGCTGATGTTACAGGGCTGACCTGAACAGGTTTTGCACTATAGACATCACGCTGATGTTACAGGGCTGACCTGAACAGGTTTTGCACTATAGACATCACGCTGATGTTACAGGGCTGACCTGAACAGGTTTTGCACTATAGACATCACGCTAATGTTACAGGGCTGACCTGAACAGGTTTTGTACTATAGACATCACGCTAATGTTACAGGGCTGACCTGAACAGGTTTTGTACTATAGACATCACGCTAATGTTACAGGGCTGACCTGAACAGGTTTTGTACTATAGACATCACGCTAATGTTACAGGGCTGACTGCCTGTCGTAAACAGCTTGGTGGCTCATTACATCGTTTGTAAGCACGAGACGTGGTCGCTTCATGTTTTCATATATAGGCTGCAACTTTCCATAACGTCGAAGTCGGTGGGCTAGGCGCTGCAAACGCACCTCGTAGTGCCGGGGTGCCCGGTTCAATCACACTTGCGGACAATTTGTCTTGCGCTGGTTTCGACAGTAGTTCCGAAAGCTGACCGTTTCCAACGGAGGTCCACTTTTAGTTATGATCGTGTCTTCTTTTAAATGACCCTTATATTCACAACCACCTCAACCACGTTTTAGACACCACGAACACAGCACATCTTGTCTCTCGTTCTGTCAATAGACCCGCCCCCCTCCACTCTTTTTCCAACCACACTATGTACATCCCCCACAACGAACCCGTCACGATGATCTACCACCGTATTCGCAGCCCCTATCCCCCCGTCGTGCCTCTCACAGACCCTACTAACCACAACCACTGTCTACCCCAGGTGGTCACTATATAAATAGTATTTTCACTGTGTGACTCAGTCAGAGGGCAAATCATTTTTTTAATTTTTTTTTTCATTATGTAAACTATAGTGGAGGAGCCCTTGAGTAAGAATATATAGTTAACAGGTCAGAAAATGCCAAATACAATCGCTGAATGTCCTGTTTGACATACTACTAACACTGACACAGACGCGTAAATACTGAAAAGTATTGCAGTATTTTATCTGTTTCAACTGTGACATAGATACGTAAATGTGTAACAGTAGCACAGATATTTGTCTACTGAAACATTGACATAGACACCTAAGATTAGCATAAGCGTTTGTCTACTGAAACACTGACGTAGACACCTAAGATTAGCATATCATTTGTCTAGCGAAACACTGACATAGACACCTGTCTAAGATTAACATAGACATTTGTCTACTGAAATAATGACATAGACACCTAATATTAGCATAGGCGTTTGTCTACTGAAACACTGACATAGACACCTAATATTAGCATAGGCGTTTGTCTACTGAAACACTGACATAGACACCTAATATTAGCATAGGCGTTTGTCTACTTAAACACTGACGTAGACACCTGTCTAAGATTAGCATAGGCGTTTTTCTACTGAAACACCGACATAGACACCTGTCTAATATTAGCAGAGGCATTTGTCTACTGAAATAATGACATAGACACCTAATATTAGCATAGGCGTTTATCTACTGAAACATTGACATAGACACGTGTATAACAGTAACAAAGACATTCATCGACTGAAACACTGACATAGACACGTAAAAGTGTAATAGTAGCGACGATATTTATCCACTGGACACTGACATAGGCACGTACATAACAACTTATACTGACTTTGACATAACTGTAGTTGTTAACACAGCCCAACGAAACACATTTGTTGGCAAGGAACATAAGTGTTGGTACACTCCTAAAGAGACATACTTATTGACGCAATCCCAAAGATACATTATGTTCGACACAACCCTAAAGAGACTTAATTGTTAATACACTGGATACATTTGTATTATTTGATACACAAGTCAGAGACACATTTTGTGACCACTTAACTCTGCCCGCCGTGTCTACTCAACCCTGTTCCAAGTGACCACTCAACCCTGCCCCCGGTGTCTACTTAACCCTGTTCCAAGTGACCACTCAACCCTGCCCCCGGTGTCTACTTAACCCTGTTCCAAGTGACCACTCAACCCTGCCCCCGGTGTCTACTTAACCCTGTTCCAAGGGACCACTCAACCCTGCCCCCGGTGTCTACTTAACCCTGTTCCAAGTGACCACTCAACCCTGCCCCCGGTGTCTACTTAACCCTGTTCCAAGTGACCACTCAACCCTGCCCCCGGTGTCTACTTAACCCTGTTCCAAGGACCACTCAACCCTGTCCCCGGTGTCTACTTAACCCTGTTCCAAGTGACCACTCAACCCTGCCCCCGGTGTCTACTTAACCCTGTTCCAAGTGACCACTCAACCCTGCCCCCGGTGTCTACTTAACCCTGTTCCAAGGGACCACTCAACCCTGCCCCCGGTGTCTACTTAACCCTGCTCCAAGTGACCACTCAACTCTGCCCGCCGTGTCTACCTACTCAACCCTGCTCCAAGTGATCACTTAACCCTGCCCCCGGTGTCTACTCAACCCTGCTCCAAGTGACCACTCAACCCTGCCCCCGGTGTCTACTCAACCCTGCTCCAAGTGACCACTCAACTCTGCCCCCGGTGTCTACTTAACCCTGCTCCAAGTGACCACTCAACCCTGCCCCCGGTGTCTACTCAACCCTGCTCCAAGTGACCACTCAACTCTGCCCCCGGTGTCTACTTAACCCTGCTCAAGGTGACCACCTGCCCCCGGTGTCTACTCAACCCTGCTCAAGGTGACCACCTGCCCCCGGTGTCTACTTAACCCTGCTCAAGGTGACCACCTGCCCCCGGTGTCTACTCAACCCTGCTCAAGGTGACCACCTGCCCCCGGTGTCTACTCAACCCTGCTCAAGGTGACCACCTGCCCCCGGTGTCTACTCAACCCTGCTCAAGGTGACCACCTGCCCCCGGTGTCTACTCAACCCTGCTCAAGGTAACCACCTGCCCCCGGTGTCTACTCAACCCTGCCCCCGGTGTCTACTCAACCCTGCCCCCGGTGTCTACTCAACCCCTCCCTAGATGCCCACTAAACCCCTCCCTATATGTCAGCTTAACCCTGCTCCTGGTGATGGGCGTGATGCAAGTTTCTATTGTCTGGTCTCAGGTAGAGAGAGAGCAGGTGAAACTAGAGAAAGAAAAACAGCGCCTGGAGAAGGAACGACTGAGAACCCTGGAGCGTGAAGCCAAACTGGAAATGCTGAAAGGAAGACTCAGCCAAGTAGACATGGACGGCGGCCTGAGAAAGCCAGGTCTCATTCCTCTAGCGGGTAGGTAGCCAAGAGTCAACTCTTGAGAAAGCCAGGTCTCATTCCTCTAGCGGGTAGGTAGCCAAGAGTCAACTCTTGAGATCCAGGTCTCATTCCTCTAGCGGGTAGGTAGCCAAGAGTCAACTCTTGAGAAAGCCAGGTCTCATTCCTTTAGCGGGTAGGTAGCCAAGAGTCAACTCTTGAGAAAGCCAGGTCTCATTCCTCTAGCGGGTAGGTAGCCAAGAGTCAACTCTTGAGATCCAGGTCTCATTCCTCTAGCGGGTAGGTACCCAAGAGTCAACTCTTGAGATGTTTGCTGCAGCTAGATTCTTGTTATTGACTGCATTTAACTGTCTCTGTGTTTTACTGCCAGACCAGACATGAATGCCCTGTTATTTAAGTGTTATTACAGCTACAAAAACGGTTATGAACCCTGGTCTCTAATTCCGACGGTTATGAACCATGGTCTCTAATGCTGACGGTTATGAACCCTGGTCTCTCATGCCGCGGATCCGGGTTCGAATACTCGGTAAGCTTATGGGATTTATTTTTTATCCAGGGTAAATGAAATCCTACACCCTACAGTTGTCGTTGACAGCACTAGCCATGGAAAAATGAAATCCTACACTGTACAGTCGCTGTTGACAGCACTGGCTATATAAAAATGAAATCCTACACCGTACAGTCGCTGTTGACAGTACTAGCTATGTAAAAATGTAATCCTACACCGTACAGTCGCTGTTGACAGTACGAGCTATGTAAAAATGAAATCCTACAACGTACAGTCGACGTTGACAGCACTAGCTATGTAAAAATGAAATCCTACAACATACAGTCGCTGTTGACAGTACTAGCTATGTAAAAATGAAATCCTACAACATACAGTCGCTGTTGACAGTACTAGCTATGTAAAAATGTAATCCTACAACATACAGTCGCTGTTGACAGTACTAGCTATGTAAAAATGTAATCCTACAACATACAGTCGCTGTTGACAGTACTAGCTATGTAAAAATGAAATCCTACAACATACAGTCGCTGTTGACAGTACTAGCTATGTAAAAATGTAATCCTACACCGTACAGTCGCTGTTGACAGTACGAGCTATGTAAAAATGAAATCCTACAACGTACAGTCGACGTTGACAGCACTAGCTATGTAAAAATGAAATCCTACAACATACAGTCGCTGTTGACAGTACTAGCTATGTAAAAATAAATCCTACAACGTACAGTCGCTGTTGACAGTACTAGCTATGTAAAAATGAAATCCTACAACGTACAGTCGCTGTTGACTGTACTAGCCATGAGGTCCAAAATTACCAGGCTCAAATACCCTGCCCTCACCCCGCACCGCAAACAGTGGAGACAGTAATGGCATTTGTTTTTACGGGTACACGACTCATTAGACTCCAGTGACTAAAGAACAGGAAATGGAGACTTTTCAATCAGCGTTGGCCAGCTAGAAATGTCACAATACAGATCCCTCTTGTGACGTCAGCTCTGATCCCACTGACATCCATTGCGAGCCCTGTCCTGACTCAGGTGACCTCCTGACCGATGATTGGCCACAATATATCGTTTATACATGGAAGTGGTATAGTAAGTAAAGTACCCTTTCCCACGCCTTTATGCTTTGTCAGACTAGACCTATATTTTATAGACTAATCGTCACTCTGTGGGTAATATCTTGCTGGATCTATCTGACGCAATAACTGGAACTCCTGGATGTGTACCTCTTTGATTCTGCTGGAGGGCAGCAGTTGCTGCCTGCCATACTGACACTCACAGACAGATCATACATCAATCTTTCGCTGTGACATGGCACCAGTCTGTTGTAGCTTGCAGCTTAAATGGGCTATTTCAGATTTAGCAGTCTGAATGGGATACACAGACACTGAGATACTGACACTAGACAATCAATCTGTTTCATCAATTTGTGTTCATGGAAATAAACTTGTTTCAAGAGAAAGTCGATGCGCACTTTGGAGTGTCTTGGCTTGACTTCTGGAGAGAAAGATGAAGACCCCGATTGGTTTGTCTGGTCTGACATCTAGAGAAACTTGAGCAAACTAGAGCGCATACAGAACGCGGCTATGCGGGTCATTCTGGCTTGCACCAGAGACACCCCAGTGGTGTGTATGCGATACATCCTTGGTTTGCCGACGGTTGCAGCTAGGCACAAGGTGATGCACCCGAAGTCATATCTCAGGGTAGCTGCAGACACATACCACCCTCTGCATGAAGCTCTGGGTGCAGTTAAGGGTCAGCGGCTGATAAGAGGGAGGTCATGGATGGCTCAGCCAGAAGACACAATCAGACAGGTCTGCATCCTTGAGAACATTAGGCGAGGAGAGGAGTGGGTCAAAGTGCCACCTGAGCAGTCAGACCTGTGTAGAGTCATAATCATGCTGAGCCGGGAATGCAGAGACTGGTCAGCAGGTGCCACGGAGGTGGAAATTCAGCAGTTAATTCAAGATAATGCTCGCTCAGAGGATATGATAATTTACACAGACGGTTCAGTGTAAAGAGGCAAAAGAAGTGCTTGCGGCTTCTTAGCAAAAGTTTATGGTCGATGTTTGGTGCAGGAGAGCCTAGCATATGATACCACAACATCCAGCTTAAGACTGGAGGTGGAGGCGGTCACTGCAACTTTCCGCTGGCTAGAGAACACGACACACACACACATCGTGATTGTAACTGATTCAGAGAGCATGCTGAAGAAGATCAGAACAGGTATGCTTCGTGCAGAGTGGCATGCTTCGCTGTGGAGGACACGAGTAAGGAATATTGTCTGGATTTTTTCACCAGGTCACACTGGTGTGTTGGGAAATCAACAGACGGACAGACTGGCTGGCTCTGCACAACTTGGTGGAATACTGATACATGATAGGGCAGACGTGGTTAGTGCCTTGTGGGAGAGCGTGTACAATGCGGAGGAGCAGATGGATCACCATAGTCTGGTGAGATTGATGCAGCTGGGAGTGACGAGAGGTTCTGGCAGAAGCTCGAGGCTCAGAGGAAGGTAAGACGGACATTTAATCAGAAAGCTACTGGCACAATTAGTATCGGAACTCTTCGCTGGCTGCTGAAGATGGAGACGGAGCGCTTATGGGAATGCCCTGAGTGCTGTGATGTCGGTTCTTGAATCAAATCAAATCAATCAATCAACATCTAGAGAGAAATTTGAAGCGCACATTGTCTTTTCTTGATTTGACATCTAGAGAGCAAGTGATGAGCACACTGTCTTTTCTGTTTAACATCTAAAGAGAAAGGTGATGCGCACATTGTCTTGTCTTGACTTTAGGGAGAAAGTTGATGCGCACATTGTCTTGTCTTGGTTTGATCACACAGAATATAAGGTAACAGCCGACTTCGCTCGCAAGCTGCACGAGTGGGAGCAGAAGAAAGGTCTGTCTCATGATGTGTCCAACTCTATCTACCTGGAGGCCCAGCAAATCAGCATGCAGCATCTTCGAAGAGGTATATCAATTCTGTCCAACCTCCTTCACTTGGGCGACATTCTGTCATCTCTGCTGAGGAAGAAGATACACTGTCTTCCTCATTACATATCATAGTCATCTTTGTGTGTGTGTGTGTGTGTGTGTGTGTGTATGTGTATAAAATGAGTGTAATCCATGATACACAATGTCTGTATGTTAACAGATATAACCAATGATATACATAATTTTTGTATGTAAATTGATGTGACCAGTGATACACAGAATGTCTGTATGTAAACTGATGTGACCAGTTATACACAGAATGTCTGCATGTAAACTGATGTGACCAGTGATACACAGAATGTCTGCATGTAAACTGATGTGACCAGTGATACACAGAATGTCTGTATGTAAACTGATGTGACCAGTGATACACAGAATGTCTGTATGTAAACTGATGTGACCAGTGATACACAGAATGTCTGTATGTAAACTGATGTGACCAGTGATACACAGAATGTCTGTATGTAAACTAATGTGACCAGTGATACACAGAATGTCTGTATGTAAACTGATGTGACCAGTGATACACAGAATGTCTGTATGTAAACTGATGTGACCAGTGATACACAGAATGTCTGTATGTAAACTGATGTGACCAGTGATACACAGAATGTCTGTATGTAAACTGAGGTGACCAGTGATACACAGAATGTCTGTATGTAAACTGATGTGACCAGTGATACACAGAATGTCTGTATGTAAACTGGTGTGGCCAGTGATACACAGAATGTCTGCATGTAAACTGATGTGACCAGTGATACACAGAATGTCTGTATGTAAACTGGTGTGGCCAGTGATACACAGAATGTCTGTATGTAAACTGATGTGACCAGTGATACACAGAATGTCTGTATGTAAACTAATGTGACCAGTGATACACAGAATGTCTGTATGTAAACTAATGTGACCAGTGATACACAGAATGTCTGTATGTAAACTGATGTGACCAGTGATACACAGAATGTCTGTATGTAAACTGATGTGACCAGTGATACACAGAATGTCTGTATGTAAACTGATGTGACCAGTGATACACAGAATGTCTGTATGTAAACTGATGTGACCGGTGATACACATAATGTCTGTATGTAAACTGATGTGACTAGTGATGGACAACATGTCTGGATGTAAACTAGTGTGACAAATGAGACAGATAATTCATGTATGTAGAATGATAGGATCAATGAGACACTATTTATATATCTATGTGAGGTTAGGAACTTGCACCGCTGCCATGTTTCAGGATCTCGCATGGACACACAAGCACTGCAGGACCAAGACAGGTACAAACCTGCTGGTTCAGGTCGCCCACCTGGACTGGACAAAGCGTCCCCTCCACCACGTCTTGTCTTGCAGCCTTACTGGGACTCACCTGAGAGCAGCTCACCTGTAGAGAAGTACTCAGAGGCCAGCCTGGCAGACGATGACACCGGCACCAGTGTTACTGAGGAGTGTCTAACTAGGTCAAACATATCCAGGTGAGTGCATTTACCTTCTAGCGGGTCTGCTTTGTGATTGCAGAACTTTATCTCAGGTCAACTGACATTGGTCAAATGTTCTTTGGATATTTTCTCCAGGAAATGCAGGTATGCTGGGAAATAAACAGGCAGATAGGTTAGCTGGTTATGCACTACTTTATTTTGACTGGATGCGTACCAAGATAAAGGTGGTTAAGGTCCATGTAGGCAAGTCAACAATATCATTACAGTATTGAGAGAAGGGTGAGGTGGTAACTGACCAGCGGATCTAGTCAAGACTATAATCAAACTGTGGCAGGTATATTTGAAACTGATTTATTTTCTGCTGACTGCTGAAGATCATGGGTGATCACGTTTGGGAATATCCCAAGAACTGCGACGTCGGTTCTTTACTCGGCTCAGGTCAAGACATTGGAATGACACTGATATCAAATTAAGACACCGGAGGTTCACTGATATCAAATCAGTTCAAGACACTGGAATGACACTGATATCAGCTCAAGACACTGGAATGGCACTAATATCAAATCAGCTCTGTGCCCCAGGTGATGCCACTTATGACTTACCTGAAAGATGTCATGAAATTATTCTGTCATTCAGAACCCTGATGTCTATCTTGATGTAAAATTAGAATTGGATTAGAAAAAAAATGATTTATTGATGATGAAAGTGCAATTCATGATGAAAGATTGATTGAGGAGGAAAGATTGATTGATGACGAAAGATTACAAGGGCTAAACTTGATCATACTGGAGATCGGCGTGACACTTGCCTGAGTTAAACTTATTGAGGTAATATGTCAAAAGGATCGCAGACCCATTCACCAGGATCAAAGGGTCATGGAGCAATGGGACGAAACTACGGGGAGTTCATGAAGGAATGTCAACCAAGGTCTTCATGTGTAGACGGTGATCTGTAAGTTGATATTAGAGGCAGTTCACTTCACGAAGTTGCAAAAGCAGCTGACTCCATGTCGGAGAGTAAGGAGGCAGCGCCAAGAGCACCTGAGAACTGATGTTGTGGGACAGGTTTAGTACCAGGTGTAGAGGGGAACCTGAAAATAGCACGCGTCCGTCTGATGTGTACACACACCGCGCCGCCATACTTTAACATCCTTGTATGTCTAATGTGTACACCAATGCTCACACACCCATGTATGTCTAATGTGTACATCAATGCTCAAATATCTATGTATGTCTAATGTGTACACCTATGCTTACATATCTATGTATGTCTAATGTGTACACCAATGCTCACATATCTATGTATGTCTAATGTGTACACCTATGCTTACACATCCATGTATGTCTAATGTGTACACCAATGCTTACACATCCATGTATGTCTAATGTGTACACCAATGCTCACATATCTATGTATGTCTTTTATGTACACCCATGCTCACACACCCATGTATGTCTAATGTTTACACCGATACTAAAGCATAAATTATGTCTATTTTGTACCACTATACTCACACATCCATGTATGTCTAATGTGTACACCTATACTCACACATCCATGTATGTCTAATGTGTACACCTATACTCACACATCCATGTATGTCTAATGTGTACACCTATACTCACACATCCATGTATGTCTAATGTGTACACCTATACTCACACATCCATGTATGTCTAATGTGTACACCTATACTCACACATCCATGCACTTCTGATGTGGACCCCCCTTCCCCTATGCCCACACATCCATGCAGGTCTGATGTGGGATCCACCATGCCCACACATCCATGCAGGTCTGATGTGGGATCCACCATGCCCACACATCCATGCAGGTCTGGTGTGGGATACACCATGCCCACACATCCATGCAGGTCTGATGTGGGATCCACCATGCCCACACATCCATGCAGGTCTGATGTGGGATCCACCATGCTCACACATCCATGTATGTCTGATGTTTACACTCAATCCCACACATCCATGCTTGTCTGATGTGGGAACCCCTACCCCTCAATCCCACACATTCATGCTTGTCTGATGTCTTACTTCCTACGTTCAGTCTAGAGAGAGCCAACAAAGAGCTGCTGGACAGTCTCCAGAAGAAGGAGTTGGAGTACGCTGCTGTCCAGGAGCAGGTCCATCAGGTCAATGAAAAACTGGCCACAGTCCGGGAAAACCATACCACAGAGATGGGTAGGTACATCACTCACCTACACATCTCTCCACTCACACACTGGTAGGTACATCACTCACCTACAAATCTCTCCACTCACACATCGGTAGGTACATCACTCACCTACACATCTCCCTACTCACACACTGGTAGGTACATCACTCACCTACACATCTCTCCACTCACACATTGGTAGGTACATCACTCACCTACACATCTCTCCACTCACACATTGGTAGGTACATCACTCACCTGCACATCTCTCCACTCACACATTGGTAGGTACATCACTCACCTACACATCTCTCCACTCACACACTGGTAGGTACATCACTCACCTACACATCTCTCCACTCACACATTGGTAGGTACATCACTCACCTACACATCTCTCCACTCACACATTGGTAGGTACATCATTCACCTACACATCTCTCCACTCACACATTGGTAGGTACATCACTCACCTATGCGTCTCCCGACTCACACACTGGTAGTTACATCACTCACCTATGCGTCTATCCACTCACACACTGGTAGGTACATCACTCACCTACACATCTCTCCACTCACACATTGGTATTTACATCACTTATCTATGCCTGTCCCCACTCACACACCTGTAGGTACATCACTCACCTATGCGTCTCCCCACTCACACACTGGTAGGTACATCACTCACCTACACATCTCTCCACTCACACATTGGTAGGTACATCACTCACCTACACATCTCTCCACTCACACATTGGTAGGTACATCACTCATCTATTCCTGTCCCCCCTCACACACTGGTAGGTAAATCACACACCTACACATCTCTCCACTCACACATTGGTAGGTACATCACTCACCTATGCGTCTCCCCACTCACACACTGGTAGGTACATCACTCATCTATTCCTGTCCCTACTCACACACTGGTAGGTAAATCACACACCTACACATCTCTCCACTCACACATTGGTAGGTACATCACCCACCTATGCGTCTACCCACTCACACACTGGTAGGTACATCACTCACCTACACATCTCTCCACTCACACACTGGTAGGTACATCACTCAACTATGCTTCTTTCCACTCACACATGGGTATGTACATCACTCACCTATGGATCTTCCCACGCACACACTGGTGGATACATCACTCACCTATGCGTCTCTCCACTCACACACTGGTAGATACATCACTCACCTATGCGTCTCCCCACTCACACACTGGTAGGTACATCACTCACTTACACATCTCTCCACTCGCACACTGGTAGGTATATCACTCACTTATACATCTCTCCACTCACACACTGGTAGGTATATCACTCACCTACACATCTCTCCACTCACACACTGGTAGGTACATCACTCACTTACACATCTCTCCACTCACACACTGGTAGGTATATCACTCACCTACACATCTCTCCACTCACACACTGGTAGGTATATTACTCACTTATGCATCTTCCCACTCACACACTGGTAGGTATATCACTCACGTATACATCTCTCCACTGACGCACTGGTAGGTACATCACTCACTTATACATCTCTCCACTCACACACTGGTAGGTATATCACTCACGTATACATCTCTCCACTCACACACTGGTAGGTACATCACTCACTTATTCATCTTCCCACTCACACACTGGTAGGTACATCACTCACTTATGCATATTCCCACTCACACACTGGTAGGTACATTACTCACCTATGCGTATCTCCACTCACACACTGGTAGGTACATTACTCACCTATGCGTATCTCCACTCACACACTGGTAGGTACATCACTCACCTACACATCTCCTCACTCACACACTGGTAGGTACATCACTCACATATACATCTCCTCACTCACACACTGGTAGGTACATCACTCACATATACATCTCCTCACTCACACACTGGTAGGTACATCACTCACATATACATCTCCTCACTCACACACTGGTATGTACATCACTCACATATACATCTCCTCACTCACACACTGGTATGTACATCACTCACATATACATCTCCTCACTCACACACTGGTATGTACATCACTCACATATACATCTCCTCACTCACACACTGGTATGTACATCACTCACATATACATCTCCTCACTCACACACTGGTAGGTACATCACTCACATATACATCTCCTCACTCACACACTGGTAGGTACATCATTCACCTACACATCTCCTCACTCACACACTGGTAGGTACATCATTCACCTACACATCTCCTCACTCACACACTGGTAGGTACATCATTCACCTACACATCTCCTCACTCACACACTGGTAGGTACATCATTCACCTACACATCTCCTCACTCACACACTGGTAGGTACATCACTCACATATACATCTCCTCACTCACACACTGGTAGGTACATCACTCACATATACATCTCCTCACTCACACACTGGTATGTACATCACTCACATATACATCTCCTCACTCACACACTGGTATGTACATCACTCACATATACATCTCCTCACTCACACACTGGTATGTACATCACTCACATATACATCTCCTCACTCACACACTGGTATGTACATCACTCACATATACATCTCCTCACTCACACACTGGTAGGTACATCATTCACCTACACATCTCCTCACTCACACACTGGTATGTACATCATTCACCTACACATCTCCTCACTCACACACTGGTAGGTACATCACTCACCTACACATCTCCTCACTCACACACTATGTCCTGGAAATGAGTTATTGTTTCACTGATGGTTCTCTGCTTGTGTCCTGAAAATGAGTTTTTGTTTCACTGATTGGTCAATGATGGATATATTCTAGACCATGCATTGTTGTGTGGAAGTCTGGAACAGAGCTGACAGGTGTAAGGCCTAGAACAGAGCTGACAGGTGTAAAGCCTAGAACAGAGCTGACAGGTGTAAAGCCTGGAACAGAGCTGACAGGTGTAAAGCCTGGAACAGAGCTGACAGGTGTAAAGCCTGGAACAGAGCTGACAAGCCAAAAGCCTGAAAAAGATCTGTGTATATTTGTCACCTGAAAAAAAAGGGGAGAGTTCCAAGATCTGTTACAATTATTGTGCTTAGCTCTTTTTGATCATGCCAGCAAAATTCTTTTCACAGATCATCATGAGGAGAATCTAGAATAAATTGGAATTATGAATTACAAAAAGCAAAGCGGGTTTTAGACGTGAAACAAGAGACCATATTTTGAATGTGAGAATCATCCTAGAGAAGTGTAGAGAGTACAAGATAGATCTCCATACTTGTTTCATAGACTACAGCATTTGACTGTGTGCAACACTATAAACTATTACATATTATAGGAAGCATAGGAATTCTAATACATCTAGTGCACTTAAAAGATAACCTTTACCGTGAACAACAAGCTGCAGTCTGAGTGGCTGTTGAAATGTCAGAGTGGTTTGACGTGCAGAAAGGAGTGAGACAGGGATTCATTCTTTCTCCGTCCTTTTTTCAGCTTATATGCTAAAATTGTCACGAGAAAAGCAATTAGCAACGCAGAGATTAAATAGCATGAAAAACCTATGGCAAAGCAGTTGTAAATTAGTTAAAGTAAAAGTCTTGAGATCATGCATTTTTCCTGTGTCAGCTTACGGCTGTGAGTCCTGATCTCTCGCTCAATTACTGATACAAAAAAATATTTAAAAAAAAAAAACAAAACGATTGGAGCCTTTACAGGGAAAATAACGTCCTGTGCCGAACACTTGAGTATTTTGGCACATTAAATCTTATGGTGGCTTGGGAAAGAACGTGATGGAGAATGCAGATTGTGGAAATCGAGGCAGGTGTTGACCTCCGCAAAGATGGATACAGGACATTAAAGATGTATTAGTGTTGAAAGCACATGGGGCTGGAGAGCTGGCTAGGGAAAGGGATACTTTCAGGCGCGCAGCGAAGAGAGCCACGTTCTGGATTAGCTGATTGACGACGACGATGATGAGTAACTTTTTCCTGTAAATGAGGTATTGTTTCACCGATAAGTCATCGAATATGTCTTGTAAATGAGTTTTTGTTTTGTTTACTGATGAGTCATCGAATATGTCTTGTAAATGAGTTTTTGTTTTGTTTACTGATAAGTCATCGAATATGTCTTGTAAATGAGTTTTTGTTTTGTTTACTGATAAGTCATCGAATATGTCTTGTAAATGATTTTTTTTTTTTTTTACTGATGAGTGAGTGCCTGCTTATGTCTTGTAAATGAGTTATTGTGTCGTTGATGGTCATCGTCTTTGTGCTAGCGCGATTTCACCGTGAGCTGGCCAGAGGCAGCTTGTCCGGTCCGGCGAACCTGCAGGTGGAGGAGCTAGAGACCACAGTTGGAGACCTGGAAGACAGGATTCACATGATGGAGAATTTGGGAGAAACACTGGCTTCTTCCATGGAGAGTGCAGCTGTATGTATTGATGTGACCTGTTTCCACATGTGTCTAAATTTACACCTGTGTCAGCTTATGTCCACCTGTTTCATCTGCACTGACATATGTCAAACTGTGTCTACACGTGACTGTCTGTGTCTACCTGTGTCTAGTTGTGTCTACCTGTTTGTACCTCTATCCATCCGTATCTACCTGTGTCTACTTCTGTCTACTTGTGTCCACACGTGTCCACCTGTATCTATCCACGTCTACCTGTGACTCCTTGTGTCGAGTTGTATCTACTTGTATCTACTTATGTCTACCTGTGACTCCTTGTGTCCAGTTGTATCTACTTTATCTACCTATGTCTACCCGTGTCTTGCTGTGTCTTGTTGTATCTGCCAGTATATACATATGTCTACCTATGTCTGCCTGTCTCTACATCTGCTTAACTATGCCAGTCTATGTCTGACTGTACACCTGTGTCTGCCAGTCTCTACATCTGTTTAACTCTGTCAGTCTATGTCTGACTGTGTACACCTGTGTCTGCCAGTCTCTACATCTGTTTAACTCTGTCAGTCTATGTCTGACTGTGTACACGTGTGTCTGCCAGTCTGTACATCTGTTTAACTCTGTCAGTCTATGTCTGACTGTGTACACGTGTGTCTGCCAGTCTGTACATCTGTTTAACTCTGTCAGTCTATGTCTGACTGTGTACACCTGTGTCTGCCAGTCTCTACATCTGTTTAACTCTGTCAGTCTATGTCTGACTGTGTACACCTGTGTCTGCCAGTCTCTACATCTGTTTAACTCTGTCAGTCTATGTCTGACTGTGTACACCTGTGTCTGCCAGTCTGTACATCTGTTTAACTCTGTCAGTCTATGTCTGACTGTGTACACCTGTGTCTGCCAGTCTCTACATCTGTTTAACTCTGTCAGTCTATGTCTGACTGTGTACACCTGTGTCTGAAGAAGTTAAGTATGACCATGATCTGTCTCCCGTCTTCTGTACTCTATTCGGTGTGTTCAAAAGCTTGTTTTGTCAGCTTGAGATTTGCTGTTGCTTTCATTAGTTTCTTATTTGTTCATGTGCAGTTCAGGTTTATGAAAAGTTCCAGTCGTTAGCCATGTTTTATGCTTTTGTTCTCCTTGATACAAGCACCCGTTAGGTTCCAGTCAATGTTCCAAGTGACTTTGCTGCTCATCTGGCCACTACCTTGCAGGAATTTGTACTGGATTCGATGTAGTTCAGATTAGTCACACGCATAAACACATCTGTCATGATTGTGTGCATCAGTCTACTAGGCTGTGTCAACTCTAGCACCACTAGTTCTGTGGTTTCATATTAGTTATCTTTATATTTTCACATCAGGGCAAGGCGTATTGAGTACAGTCCTGCGTAAGAAGCGTGAAACACACACCTTTAGGGAGAAAAACTGGTTTCAAACAACCCCCCCCCCCCCCCCCCCCCCCCCCCCCCCCCTCGGTGGAATGCTGAGATGGAGAAAGCTTGGATAAATAAGCAGACAGCCGTCAAACAGTGGCAAAGGAGGAAACAATGTAGAACTGCTCGGCCCGACCATATACATGTTCTTGAACAGGTCATGCATGAGAAGACTGTTTCGTAATCGCTAAAGTTGAGAAGTAGGCGGGGTTTTGTATGCAAATACAAATCACTAACATTGTTTTGGCGCTGGCATAAAACAATGAATAGTGCATAAAAAAGAAAGTGCATTCCAGACTTTCAGACTGGTAGCCTTACTTGACACAGAACTAACAAGCAAAACCACGGCATTTGTTGAGGACATATCTCTTTTTGCCTAAGTGTAAATATTGCATCAGCACAACCTCTGTTTATCCGAAATCTCATTTGACCTACTCTAAGTTGTAATTCGGTGACAGGACGTAGCTTTTTTCTCAAGGATCTTGCAAACTATTTTTTTGGTGTGGCTCAGTAACGAAACCCCTCTGTACTTCTCACAGCCTCTCTGGCTGCCTTTCTTCTTCCAGATGGGTACTGCAATTAGGTTTCTCCAGTCCTCTTGTGTCTCTTGTGCTGTTCAGACTAGGTTGTAGAGTCTACCCATCCATTTTACGTCTACTTCCTCTGTTGCTTGAAGTAGTTCGGCAGGTAAATCATCAGGGCCTGGTGCTACAAGGCTACCGTGTAATCATAATGCAGAATACAATTGGTAAGCTGTTGGAAAATATAGTTGCAAAGAAAATAGCTTGAACTGTAATACCTCTTCCTCCCACCATTTGATAATAAAGGCAAAGAAAGGTTTGGCGGCGCCCAGGAATCAAGCTGCGACAAACTGTGAGCAAGGGTCTGATCCTTTTTGTAACTGAGTGCGATCTGGCGATTCTGACTCTTAGTTGTACATTGACAGACTCAGTCGGATACAGAATGAGGCCATGCGCGTC